TGAAAACTGACCTGTGTTTTATGGATGCATGGTTATCTTCAAAACGAGTGGTCAAGTATGGAAGCAGCGGCTTACATCGAACATCCAGACTTTAAGCATTATCTGATCTGCCTTTAATTGTTATTCATGCAGTTCATTTTATTTGGCATCGTTTTATATTTGCGTTTTAATCTGTCTGTGTCTACTCGCTATGGCGCCAAATGACACAGCCCCGTTCTACTCGTATTGATAACACGCCTGACTCATTGTGACAAGTGTACATGTTTATAATTTTTTTGTGAAAATGTTTGTATATAAAGACCGAAAAAATTACCATTAATTATCTGACGATAGCGACGTAAGCAGATGTGAGTAATGTAATGAAAATCGCTTCAAGTAAAAACTAAGTCTAAACAAAAGAGAAACATCTTATTAGCCCACACCTGAATCTGTGGTAGCTCTTTTGATTTATGAACATACTAAACTTATTCAAATAATGTTTGAAATGCATATTTTTCTAAGAATATTGTTTACACATACCGTTGTGAAGATATGAGATTAACTGAATAGAGAAAAAAGTAATTTGAAAACAGCGAATATCTGTTTTAGCTATGTACTTCGCTGGGAATGTTGGCTGTGCGCCAGCTTGTATGGGATATCACCTTGAAACCTCGTTCTGATTCGGTTTCGGAACGCCCATAGGGCCCCATAGCGCAACTCTAAACTTGTATGAGAACCCGAACTGGAGACTGGACAGTTTAAAGCTATTCAAATTTACTCTTACTAAAGAGTTTTATAGAAACAGAAAATTTGAGAACCGAGCCGCAACGACGGGCAATTGCAATTTGTTAGTGTACTTTTTATCTCCTCAGAAGTAAATCATCAGCTCCAGTTAAGGCAATGAATCTAAAATAGCCATTGTATCATCTTTTAATTGCCCAAGCGCGAAAATTACCTCAACCTGTGCCCCCAATTGTAGGGTCAATTCGACTCCCCCGCGTGCTCAATGTGCACACGCTAAGGTCACACACGATCACTGAATATCTGTAAATTAACGCAGCTACTACTATTAACTCAATTATTAACAACTAGTTAGATAAAACTGCTCGAAACACTTCTTTAGAAGCGATTTAATAAAGTTTTGCACGAAAAGGAAACGGTTAAGTAAATTGAAAAATATGTTTTAATTTTTGTTTTAAAATTCAATAATTTTAGTAGGGGTCTTCGCCACCCTGCCCTCATCGGTGCCCAAACCCCGGATCGCATTTTAAAACTTTTTAAAACATGGCATGTGTTTTTTTAATATTTGTTTAGTTGTAAATTTTAATATTGATAAACTTCATTTCCTTAGTGATAAATAATTGTATACTATTTATAACCACACGAGACTTGTTTACGTCACATCTTAATCATAATCCACTGATAGTAGGATTTAGATAATTCAGTAAAGTCCCATTTGTTTTGAGAGTTGCATGTTCTCATCTAGCATATTGTATGTGTCAATAAAAATACTATTTTCTGATGTCTACATAGAGCGCGGTGTTTAAATTTTTTATGGACATGATCTTCCAAACATTCTTGATTATTTGGTAGAGATGGAAAAATAATAATAAAATTAAATAACAAAGAAATTAATTGTATGAACGTTTACATGACTTTGTACTTAGCGAATTACAAATAAGATTAGAATAAGAAACGGTTAAAATTATAAAGCTATACAATGAAAGACAAAATAGTAAGGAAATTAAAAGAACATCATGATGATAACTCGTATCCCTAGACTCTAGATAATTGCTATCGCGTATGGCATCTAGACGATAATCCATATCTGGACTGATTGTATTTAGATTTCTACACGTTGAATATTTTTCAGTGCTGCATGCATACCCTTTCTCATTCTTGGGTGTTGTGTAAACATAATAAACTTACATTCGTAAAATAAAAATAATGTATCTAAAGAATGTATTTGACGAGACAGAGATGTTCACGATGCGCTTTCAAACAGCCGACCAGTAAATCGTTTTAAGTTGAAATTCATTTAAACAAATACGGCGGCGTCGAGATTATCTGCCCACGTGGTCTAACGCGACCTTCACCACGCCGCACACTGTATTATTATCGAGATCTAGCAGAACTTAATTCAATCTTGCGTGAATTTATCTTTTTTTAATTTTACGTGTCATAAAATGTTAATATTAGATGTTATTTCGTATTTCTAAATAAATAAATAACATTAATTATTAATATAAAACATTTAATCTTTATTTTCTTTAAAAATATTATTTTTAATACTGCAACTTTGTTCTAAATACACAAGAAATATATTTTACACCCCTAAATATATTCAAAAGACTAAAAAAAATTCGCATAACCTTCTACCCATCTTCCTCCGTCGAGTAAGTTTCTTCTCCCATGTTCTATTTTGCACTGTTGATTTGGAAGATAGAAGTGGATCTGAACCTATCAGAAATCGGTTAAGTACGTCTCGATTGGTGTTAATTCTGCTTGTTTTCCTGCTGAAATACTCGCGATTCCTCCTATATTCCTTATTGTTCGCTTCTTGAGCTTCTTCTGCTAATTGGTCCAAAGGTAAAACGCATGTTTCAATTACTTCTATTGAGTGTGAGAGGATTTTGTACTACTAGAAGGCATGTAGTACCAGGAACAATGTACTAAATAAAGTTTTCTTGTCTCTTCGGCATATGTCTTGTGCCTCCAAGATAACAGAAATGTTTGACTAAATCCAGATTGATCCCTGTTATTTTCGCTTATATTTCTCCCATTTAGATTGTATTTTTGCTGTAAGACTACTTATTAACATTTGAAGTGATCGTGGAGGGTTTCTACAGTCCTCTATGTCATAATATTGTAGTATTTTTTCAATTATAAGGTTATTTGGACCTTTTTTTTATTACTTGGGAACCATATATTAAAAATATCTCGCCTTTTCATTGCGCTGAAAACAAAAAAAAAAGTATGAGCGGGGCAAATAGGAGCAAGGGATTCCAACTAAATTTCAAAGAACATTAACCGTAGAATGCTATAACAGTGATTTCCCGGTGTATACACTTGCATACATTTTTAAAAGTCAACACTAATACAAAAAGAAATTTTTTTTCAAGGACTACAGCAAAAACGTTATTAATTAATAAAATTTCAATATTATAACGTTCAAACTTACCTTAACGTATCCTCGATGATATAACAAACGATAAAAATGACCAATTATAGCACTTTAAACGACAAGAACAGACCTGTTCGCATTCTGCAATAAACCAAAACTAAACAATACACTCGTGCTAGTACGCATAAGCTATGTTTCGAGACTTCCCTTGTGTTGTATGGTGTTACACACTTATTTTTTTTTTTCAATATCGGTTATTTAGTTATACACCTGTGTAATAAAGGGAGTTTTAAGAATATTTACAAGAGTATTATTTTTAATTAAGTTCTGCTAGATCTCGAAAATAATACAGTGTGCGCCGCTGGAAACCTTATCCCTTGCGCAATAAGGATGTCATCAATTACGTAACGCTGAAATGGCATACGATGCGACTAAAACCTATTTAGATTGTCTTTCGTATTTTTGTAACATGAGATATTGTTATTAATAACTATTGTATTTAATGCGAACACCGACAAATTCTAACATAAACTTAACTAACAACTAATTAATTCGCCATTTGAGACTCTTACTTTCGGGTTTGCTTTAGAAAATTGCACGTTTACCTTATGTAGTTGTGCATTGTGGACATAGTTCCTTCAAAAAAACATTGAACCTTAATGCAATACTCATAAAACTGACATTGAACACTATTAACGTAACAACAGAAGTGTACATTTTATCACAAAACCATTATCCTGTCTATTTTTGATGCAAACTAATCGGTCACTGCCATAATAAACTAGTTACCTCAAGTCAAGTCCGTAGGCAAATTACAAAACAGAAGACCCATGATATTTCGCTTTCTCGGTTCTCTCTGAGATTAAAATCCTACAAACGTACATAAAACAAACTTTTTAATAGATGCATCTTCGAACGCACGCATAAATGGTGAATATACATTAGGAAAAGCAACTGGTCTACTTGCAAAATGCTATAGCTTATAAAATGGAATATGATGAAATGCTTACATCTATACGATAAATCGATGCGGACATGTATTACTTACATATTATAACCTTTTTATCGCTACGTGTTCATAAAAGAGATTAGCCTTGCATGAAAAAAAAACATCACTACATTATATAGGCTTCATTGTTACCTTTAATCCTTATACTTTTTTATTTTATTGCTTAGATGGGTGGACGAGCTCACAGCCCACCTGGTGTTAAGTGGTTACTGGAGCCCATAGACATTTACAACGTAAAAGCGCCACCCACCTTGAGATATAAGTTCTAAGATCTCAGTATAGTTACAACGGCCGCCCCACCCTTCAAACCGAAACACATTACTGCTTCACGGTAGAAATAGGCAGGGCGGTGGTACCTACCCGCGCGGACTCACAAGTGGTCCTAGCACCAGTAAGTCCACCACCACATTTGTTATTATATTTTCCTTTTTAAGATATATATGAAGTTCCATTGTGATTTTGCATAGCAACAAAACGTATTGGGAGGAAAACGAAAATTAATGTTCAGTTGTTGCAGTCACAATAACTGGATTACGGAATCCATGAGTGTTAAAAATCCGAAATTATGAACTTTTACATCTATTGTTTATAAGTTAGTTGCCAAGGCAACCTAAGATTGTTGATAGTACCGGCGTCGCATTGACGGCCGCGTTCATCGTCTCTTAATGAACACTAATAAAATGAGGAATCGGAATCGATACGTTTAGGTAATTTACCTGGGTTTTTAGGTAAATTACCTAACACACCGACAGTCATGCCGAGCATTCTGTGGTTGCGCAACAAATATAAATGTCCTTCTATTTTTTCTTTCGTTATCAGCGCTCGTTATCCCCCGGCCGTTTCTTTTCCTTTATCTTAATGCACTAAACCATCAATTTTCAATTCCAGACTAATGACGTCGGCAACTATGCGACCGATCGCCGATCGTGCATCGATATCGAGCCGCAGAAGACTCGCTGATTCCGATACAGAAGTTCCACTACTTTATTTATCTACTTAGATAATCAGTTTTTTAGTGCTTTTACAAGGAAAAAAATATATATTTTGTAATATTCGTTTACAAGTGCTATTTATTAACACACATTGTGATGTGACAGTGCTTCGTGCAGTGCAATAAATTAAACCAGTTGATTTGTGAGATCCGGTTTCGAACGGTTCGAAGCGGTTTGGGCCGGTTTATATTTGGGCCCGATGTTGGTGTCGTCATGGCTTTCATGATGAAGAAGAAACGGTATAAGTTTGAGGTACAGTGCTGTTTGGAGGAGTTGACTGAGGTGCCTTTCGTTTCTGCCGTTTTATTTGCCAAAGTGAGGCTGCTCGACGGCGGGAATTTCCAGGAGCATTCCAGCAGGTGAGCTGATATATTAACTTCTAGAGGATGATAAATTGTGTGTTTAGAAATTATATTTAAATACGGATTACATCTTGATATTATATTACTTGTTATTCTCTTTCAATAAAAAAAAAAGTTTATGTTTAAGTTGATTATCGATAAAGTTGATTATTGAAAACACGAATAAAACAAAATTTTCTGAAAATAAATCGTAGCTAGATCGATTTATCGCCCCCGAAATCCCCTGTATACTAAATTTTATGAAAATCGTTGGAGCCGTTTCCGAGATTCAGATTACAAACACGAGAATTGCTCGTTTAAAGATATAATATAGTATTTTCTTCGGTATTCCTGAGTACTTTTACGATTGAATTAGCGTTGATTATTTTCATTTTATGAAATGTAGAGCTTGTTTGCTGGCGCTTATCTATCCATTTAGAATCCTCTTATCGTGAACATGAAACTCCAAGTCAAACAAACTGCCAAACCTCAAGACACTGTTAGTTCTTTCTGTGCGCAAAGCAACGCAAGTATCAATAAATGCATTTCTTTAAAATAGACGGTATGTTCCATTTCTGAACGTCAAAGTGTCAGCGAGCGATGTTCGCCATCTCTTTCAAATCCAACCGCCAAGGGCAACGCATCAATTTTATATTTCTCTTATATTAAGTCCTTAAATTTGTCATTTAAGGGTAAAATAAAGATTTCATACACAAAATACAGTCCACGCTTAATTTTAATAACGCAGCACTGTAATCTATATATATAAATAAAATTGTGTCTGTTTGTAATATTGAAATAACCGCTTTTTACTACATGCATATGAATATATATACGGCATATACACCAAAGTAATATTTTGTACAATTTTTGTTTGTGTGTCTGTTTGTTCCGGCTAATCTCTGGAACGGCTGGACCGATTTTGACGAGACTTTCACTGATAGGTACCTTATGATATAAGGAGTAACTTATACTACTTTTTCTTGACTAGCATCACCCGCGGTACGACAATAACCGCGGGTAACATCGCGGGACTCAGCTATCAATAATAAAATTTATTGTTTCCGAAGCAAAGCGAGGGCGGGTCGCTAGTTATCAAATAATCATAAAATGATGGCAGATTGTATAACCACTTAACACCAGGTGGGCTATGAGCTCGTCCACCTATCTGAGCAATATTCAATACGTTTTCTCTAGTACTCTAATTTCCTTTAAATGTACCGCGAATAATAATTATCACAAGGTAAATATTTTTTAATAATTAATGTTAAATCCTGAACATTTCATGTATTCGCGAAATAACTAGAGCGCGTTCGTGTATAACACAAAATACCAGACATAATCCTCTTGCGTTAATCTTTGAAGCCGGTTTAAGACGTCTTTGTGAGCGAGATAAGAGGCACGTGAAACAGCACATAGAAATTTCGGTTATATCTCCTAAAGTAATTGTTGTTTGTTACTCTAAACTTATACTAGGTCAATTTTAGACCTACCGTCTTTTTTTTGAAAATAAATCGACGGCTAATAATCAATAATGTATATCTCAATTTTGGCTGCGCGTAATTTTTTGCCAATACTGTCTGTCTACCTTGGTATATTAAGACAATTTAAGTTTACTTAAAAGTTTCTAGTATTTACTTACCCTTTTTAGTGATTTAAAATTTTCTGGTAGTTCATTAGTTGAAGCGAACAAATGTTTTTTTTATCTACTGTAAAGTTGACTTTTTTGAAATAGACACTATTGATTCTTAACCGTCGAAATACTTGTTATGCCTCACAAATGTATTTCATTTAGGAAACGTGGTATCTGCCTGTGGGATGGGAGCACCGGCACTTTTGATTTAGGCCACGACCGCTACAAATTAAACAGTTGCATAATATCAGAATAACAATTACGTGGATGTCCCTGACACTACTTTTTACTGGTGGTAGGACCTCTTGTGAGTCCGTACGGTTAGGTACCACCGACCTGCCTGTTTCTGCCGTGAAGCAGTAATGCGTTTCGGTTTGAAGGGTGGGGCAACCGTTGTAACTATACTTGAGACCTTAGAACTTATATCTCAAGGTGGGTGGCGCATTTAAGTTGTAGATGTGTATAGGTTTCAGTAACCACTTAACACCAGGTGGGCTCTGAGCTCGTCCACCCAAGAAAGCAATAAAAAAAACTAATATTCTTAATGCTATGGAGCTCCAAATAAATGTACAAAGTCATTTTTAACGTTATATTGCGGAGTTGCACGTCAGACTAGAGGGCTAATTTGAATCTGTCTTCAACCAGAAGACTTCATCCGCTTGTTTCGAAAGTGATTGAATGCTTGAAAAGGATCTGGGCCCAAGAAATCTGAACTCATCTTCAATTTTAGAAGATTGTACAAATATTCTAAGGCATTACGGCAGCTACAGTCGGGATGTTCTGAAAATCAAACGTATATTCATTTATTTGGAAATTAAGTTATACTTATGCTAATGTCTTTAAATTAAAATAATATTTTGACTATTTACTATCTCTATCTACTTAGGCGCTGTTCCGAATATATGTAGAGAACCATTTGGGTTTGTTCTGCTTTTCCCTTGTGATTAAGTCCTCTCCAAAACTCGTTAAGCAACTTCGGATCTTGATCCTTTACCACTAAGCTAAGTTTATAAATGTACCAATATATTTTTTTTTTAAGTTGAGCTTATGGCATTTTATAACATCACATAAAACAAAGTTTCCATAAAAAATCCTCATAAAAATTTCCTTCTTTGTTAACAAAACTTTAGAACACTAACTTAAGTCATGCAATTCTTCGATTTGTACTAGACATTAAAAAATTGTACTTTTGACGCGTGCAAGGTACCCAATCGATCTGACACAATCTTTGAATGTTTCTTAGAAGAAGAAGAAAAAAAAACGTACCTGTTATAAATTGCTAAACGGCTCTAAATAGCTATGTAATCAGTGATTGTCTTTCATAATTATTACGTTACGATTGCTCTAGTGGCAGATCGGTGACGCAATACGACCGACGTTTTTCGAGGAGGGCACGAAACAACACACGCGCGGCTCAGTGGCATCGCGCACTGCCAATCGACGCCGCCCAGCCGATGTCTAAGACGATGCGTTCTGTTCTCCTGGAAGTTTGTTGATAACCTCAAAACGCTTTTTTAATTTCAACTCAAAGCATGAAGGTAGTTATAATTATGTTGTTAAGAATCTATTGTTTATTGTGTTTTCGGAAATGTTGCACTTAGTTCGCAGAAAAAATAGTTTTTTGATGAAATTACTCAGTTTGGTTTCTCGCCGGTTCTTCTCGGTGGGTCGCGATTCCGATCCGATAGTAGATTCGGCGCAGCACTGCTTTTGCTAACGTCATTGTTAGCAATTCTTTCAGGTTGAACCCATGAGCTCACCTGCCGATCCGTGCGTAGCTGGAATAGCCATAGATTACCAATTAGGTAGGGAAAAAAAAGATGAAAAGAGTAGTAATACGTCATAGCTTACAATTTTTGAGGCAACGATCCTACGGGCCTTTTGTTATTAATCTGTCGCTGGAAGACACTACGTCAGATCTCGAACGCCGTCACCTACTATTAGAAAAGTCCTTCACTTGGTTGGAACATTGGCAGTACCATACGCTTTTAATTAGACATGATTTTTTTTCTTTCATCGCTTTCAATCGACGTATCCAAAGGATTTTATTATAAAAATCAAGATGTTTTGAATAAGTACATAGATATAAAAAAAAACATTAGAGGGCAAGAAAAAAGATTATAAGCTAATGTTAACACTCCTGGCACATTAATATACATAATGTGAAGTCGGAAATGTATTGTCGTTATTTTATTTTAAAGGATCATGCCTTATAAACTAAACTACTTACTTGGTTCTACTACTACTAGTATAAAAAAATTAAAGTCATGCTCCATCATACTATTTTGTGAAACAAGACTAATGACCAAACTGATGAAGGTTTTATAAACAAATATAATTTCCGCAAATTTTGAAGGCTTTAATTAAAAACCCTTTAGTGGCCGCGCGCCGTGACCTGTTTCAAGTAAAGTAAAATATTCTTAACTAACGTTTTTATCGTGTACTGGTATATACTGTGTGTTAGTATATAAAGATAGATCTGTTAAAAGTACAGCTATTAATATTTAAGGGATTTATTTTTACTTAATTAACTGAGCAAAATTTGTAAAGTTTTGTAATGTCCTTACTGTACTCCTCAGAGTTATGATTACGATGCGTTAATACATGATAGGACTATTTTTAAAATAATAGTGTGCTAGTATCGAGCGACGATACTACACACGAGGCGCCATTCTTTTAGCCTCACCGGTAGTATACTTAAATGATGTGCACTCGTTAAACTCTTTCGTGGATTAAAGGCTTATCACATTCAGGTTAATTGAACGGAAGTTGCCACGGTCCTGATAAACTTCGTCGTAAATTTACTTACTATACAGTGTACTGAAGTTAAGATTAATTATTCAACAATACATTTTAGTTATTTGAAATTTATGAAATAAACGATTTGGGTCTTATTAGAAACCGCTCATTGACGGTATAAATCGATATTGAGTAGAACGTCATTGAATAGGTAATAATAATAGCAAAATAAGTAGCTCCGGTAACTCAAAATGAACAATTGACACTTACAAATGTGTGAGCGGCTCCTGGATGTTAACACAAGTACGAATCTGGCTCGTCTTTAATGCGGTTATTGTTTGTAACGTATTTGTAAAGTGTAATCTGTAAAGCAATCAGTACATTAACTGAAAAACGAACAAAGAATCCGCAGTCTAAACCAGCGAGCCTTGTGATCTGATATTTAGAGACCCTATTTTTGAATATCATAAAGGTAAACTATGGATGAGATTTAGGTCGTGAAAAGGGGGGAAGGATGAAGTTTTTATAGAATAAATACTTTCCAGTATCAAAGGGTACACCACCCGGGTACGTACTACCACTCTGCCTTGTTTATATAGTCAAAGTAGTTATAGGATTATCGATTGGAGACATGATGTAAATATAC